TGGTGCCTCCTGGGGCCTCCTGGGGACCTCCTGGAGCTTCCTCCTGGGCCTCCTGTGGCCTCCTGAACTCCACCTGAGGTTTCCTGAAGCCTCTTGGGGCTCCCAGGGGGGATATCTAACCTGTGGCCGCTTGGGCCCCTCAAAATGGAGGGGGGGGCACAAGAGCAGGAAAAATCAACGAATCGACACCGGATGTGTATTAACTTGACACGTTCTGATAGAGGGCCTCCTGGGGCCTCCTGGGAGCCTCCTGGGAATCTCCTGGGGGCCCCTGGGGCCTGTCCTGGGCGTCCTGCGGCCTCCTGGACCTCTCTGGGGCCTCCTGAGGCTCGCAGGGTCCCATGGAGGATATGTAACATGTGGTCTTCTGGGCCCCCAGGCTGGACCACCTCTTGCGCAGCATCTGAGAGCTCAGAGTTGCGAGAATGTCTTGTGCGAAACAGGCCGGACCACCTTGCGCACGGCATCTCAGAGCTCAGAGTTGCAAGGATGTCTCAGGCGAGACGGGCCGGACCACCTCGCGCAGGGCATCTCAGAGCTCAGAAGTTCGAGGATGTCTCAGGCGAAACGGGCCGGACCACCTCTCGCGCGGCATCTCCGAAGTCAGAGTTTCGAGGATGTCTCAGGCGAAACGGGCCGGACCACCTCGCGCAAGGCATCGCAGAGCTCAGAGTTTCGAGGATGTCTCAGGCGAAACGGCCCGGACCACCTCTCGCACGGCACCTCGGGGCTCAGAGTTTCGAGGATGTCTCAAGCGAAACGGCCCGGACCACCTCTCGCGCGGCGTCCCGGAGCGCAACTGTTCGAGGATGTCTCAGGCGAAACGGCCAATCTTGGCCAACTCAGAAACGAGAGTTGTGAGTATGTCTCAAGCGAAATGGCCAAAACCATAAAATTTGTGTGAGGATGTCTCTGCTCCGCCTTCCCTCGGCCAGAGTTAGTTTCTACCACAACAGCACCCCGTTCAGCAAGCTGTTCGGGGAAAAATCGTGACATCGGATGTCTGGGGAGGGCGGAAGGCAGTGCGCGCATGATGGATGCTGAGGCGGCAGAAACGACGACGGCGGGGACGGGGAGGCGGAGGCAGAGGCGCAGCAGCGGGAGGCGGGAGGCGGGAGGAGGGAGGAGGGAAGAGGAACCAGGCGGGAAGTGGGAAGAGGGAGGCGGGAGAAGGAATGAGAGAGGTTGTGATTGGAGCTCCTGTGCTACGAAACGTCTCAGGCAGAATGGGCCAGACCATCTCGCGCGCAACATCTTCGAGCCTCGCATTGCGAGGATGGCTCAATCGAAACGGGCCGGACCACCTCGCGAGCGACATCTTGGAGCTCAGTATTGGAAGGATGTCTCAAACGAAACGGGCCGGACAATCTTTCGCACACGTTTTGACAAGTCCACATCGCACTCGCTTCCCGTTAGGTCCTCTCCTGCAACTCCCTTCCTTCTCCCTCCTCCTCCTCCTCCTCCTCCTCCTCCCCCTCCTCCTGCTTGCTCCCTCATGCACATCATCCGCCTCCTCCTTCTCCCTTCCATCTCCTTCTCCTTCTCCTCCTCCTCCTCCTCCTCCTCCTCTCCTCCTCCTCGACCTCCTCTTCATCCCGAACGGCATCTCGGAGCCTAGAGTTGCGAGGATGTCTCCAGCGTAACGGGCTGGACCACCTCGCGCGCGGCATCTCGGACCCCAGAGTTGCGACGATTTCTCGGGCAAACGTGCTGCGAGGAAGTCTCAGGCGAAACGGGCCGGACCACCTCGAGCGCGGCGTCTCAGAGCTCCGAGTTGCGGGGGCCTCCTGGTGCCTCCTGGGGCCTCCTGGGGACCTCCTGGGGCTTCCTCCTGGGCCTCCTGTGGCCTCCTGAACTCCACCTGAGGTTTCCTGAAGCCTCTTGGGGCTCCCAGGGTGGATATCAAAACTGTGGCCGTTTGGGCCTCTCCAAATGGAGGGGGGTGCACAAGAGCAGGAAAAATCAACGAATCGACACTGGATGTGTATTAACTTGACACGTTCTGATAGGCGGCCTCCTGGGGCTCCTGGGAGCCTCCTAGGAATCTCCTGGGGACCCCTGGGGCCTGTCCTGGGCGTCCTGCGGCCTCCTGAAGCTCTCTGGGGCCTCCCTCTCCTCCTGCCTGCTCCCTCATGCACATCATCCGCCTCCTCCTTCTCCCTTCCATCTCCTCCTCCTCCTCCTCCTCCTCCTCCTCCTCCTCCTCCTCCTCCTCCACCTCCTCTTCATCCCGAACGGCATCTCGGAGCCTAGAGTTGCGAGGATGTCTCCAGCGTAACGGGCTGGACCACCTCGCGCGCGGCATCTCGGACCCCAGAGTTGCGACGATGTCTCGGGCGAAACGTGCTGCGAGGAAGTCTCAGGCGAAACGGGCCGGACCACCTCGAGCGCGGCGTCTCAGAGCTCCGAGTTGCGGGGGCCTCCTGGGGCCTCCTGGGACCTCCTGGGGCTTCCTCCTGGGCCTCCTGTGGCCTCCTGGACCCCACCTGGGGCTTCCTGAAGCCTCTTGGGGCTCCCAGGGGGGATGTCTAACCTGTGGCCGCTTGGGCCTCTCCAAATGGAGGGGGGGCACAAGAGCAGGAAAAATCAACGAATCGACACCGGATGTGTATTAACTTGACACGTTCTGATAGGCGGCCTCCTGGGGCCTCCTGGGAGCCTCCTGGGAATCTCCTGGAGACCCCTGGGGCCTGTCCTGGGCGTCCTGCGGCCTCCTGGGGCCTCCTGGGGACCTCCTGGAGCTTCCTCCTGGGCCCCTGTGGCCTCCTGAACTCCACCTGAGGTTTCCTGAAGCCTCTTGGGGCTCCCAGGGGGGATATCTAACCTGTGTCCGCTTGGGCCCCTCAAAATGGAGGGGGGCACAAGAGCAGGAAAAATCAACGAATCGACACTGGATGTGTATTAACTTGACACGTTCTGATAGAGGGCTTCCTGGGGCCTCCTGGGAGCCTCCTGGGAATCTCCTGGGGGCCCCTGGGGCCTGTCCTGGGCGTCCTGCGGCCTCCTGGACCTCTCTGGGGCCTCCTGAGGCTCGCAGGGTCCCATGGAGGATATGTAACATGTGGTCTTCTGGGCCCCCAGGCTGGACCACCTCTTGCGCAGCATCTGAGAGCTCAGAGTTGCGAGAATGTCTTGTGCGAAACAGGCCGGACCACCTTGCGCACGGCATCTCAGAGCTCAGAGTTGCAAGGATGTCTCAGGCGAGACGGGCCGGACCACCTCGCGCAGGGCATCTCAGAGCTCAGAAGTTCGAGGATGTCTCAGGCGAAACGGGCCGGACCACCTCTCGCGCGGCATCTCCGAAGTCAGAGTTTCGAGGATGTCTCAGGCGAAACGGGCCGGACCACCTCGCGCAAGGCATCGCAGAGCTCAGAGTTTCGAGGATGTCTCAGGCGAAACGGCCCGGACCACCTCTCGCACGGCACCTCGGGGCTCAGAGTTTCGAGGATGTCTCAAGCGAAACGGCCCGGACCACCTCTCGCGCGGCGTCCCGGAGCGCAACTTTTCGAGGATGTCTCAGGCGAAACGGCCAATCCTGGCCAACTCAGAAACGAGAGTTGTGAGGATGTCTCAAGCGAAATGGGCAAAACCATAAAAATTGTGTGAGGATGTCTCTGCTCCGCGTTCCCTCGGCCGGAGTTAGTTTCTACCACAACAGCACCCCGTTCAGCAAGCTGGTTGGGGAATAAAGTTGTGAATATGTCAGCATGTGCGCATAGCTTTACGAAGATGACCATTGTCATACATATATAATTAAAGAGTAATATGTACATATGCATGTACATACATATGCATGCGTATATGTAAATGCGTATGCATGTGTATGTGTATGTGCATGCGTATTTGTTGGTCTAGATGTAGGTGTAAATGTAATGTATATGCAGATGTATGTATACGTATTTGCATACGCACATGTATATGTATGTGTAAGTGTATATGTGCGTGTGAATGTGAATGTGTAGTTTTACATCTGATGGGTATGCATATGTATATGTACGTGTGAATACATGCATCTGTACACACATATATATATATACATAATATATAGTGTGTATATATACTTGTATGCAGTTGTATGTATGTATGTATAGAGATATGTGTATGTGCATATATACGTAAAAGTACATATTATGCGTATAGGCAAGCTCCAGAATCTCCGGAGGGCCACGACGTGAAAACCATGCCTTCGGACGTCTGGGCTCCTGCCTCTGATAAGGACGAGTAGAACATGTTTGAAAAGTGTGGCCGCTGCGATTCTGGCTTTGAGTCGCAATAGGGATGCCGACTGCTTCAAGCACTCGCTGGCGCCAGCCCAGTGCCCGGCGGACATACAGTGGAAGTCCGAGCATACAGTTCGGACGAGAGTCGGTACAGCCAGCGGGAAGGACATGCAGTCTAGACGTACGTTTTACAGAGGCCTGAGGGCTTTGAAGATATCGCCGTACCAAAAGACGCGTATACGCATACACAGCAGCGCGCGAATGCGCATATGATATACGGTCGGGAACATTGGCTCAGCGTGTCGTGCCGCCAGCTCTGGCCCACCACGCTGTGGCGCGACACGCTGGCCACGTCCCAGTCCCCAGGCGAGCTTTTCCCAGCCTCCCGCCCCGCGGAGCGGAGCACACGCTATCGCTTGCCGGGGCCTCCGCCGCGGCGGCTGCTGAGCAGAAATTCCAGACCGCATGATACCACTGTTCTGCCATCGGGCACGCCAGGTCACCCAGGGGGGTGCGAAGATGGTCGCGCCTCGTGCGCCGCGGCCCGGGCCAGAGCGGTTGCCCTTCAGCACGGGGGCTGCCCGAGCACGCGATAAAACGAAGATGGCCGCGCATCGCGGGGCGCGATGCGCGAAGCTAGTTGACCCGGGGAACGTGTGCCCCACGGCGGCTGGAAAGATTGTGCTCTCTCTTGCCGCCGTGGGGGGCATCAGTTTTCCAGCCGCCGTGCGGCAGGCCCACCCGGCGGCAGAAGAGTTTACTCCATGCCGCTTCGCCAAGGCTCGGGAGACGAGGGCGCCGCCGCGAGTGCGGCTGTAGGCGGTCGTGCCGGCGTCGGCGGCGGCGCTGGGCGCGCGGGCGCACGGGCACTGACGCCCTGGTGCGACGATGCGTCGGACTCGGACGACGAGGCCGAGGGGCACGCGGCGGAGTCCGCCGCGGGCCCAAGGGAGGCGCCGGGCGTGAACCTGGACCCGCGCATGCTCGCCAGGACGCTGGGGCGGGTCTACATGGAGCACCGGGGCCCCGAGGTCATCGAGGCATGGCGCGAGAGGCTCCAAGGCGGCGCGGCGCACGGACCGGCGCCCGATTGTGGCGTGGGCCCCTCGCCGCCAGAGTTAGAGCACCTTCTCGTGAACGAGGTTCTGCGCAGAGGGCACCTTTACGCCACCACCGTGACTGGCCTGGGGCACCCTTCGGGTGTGGCTGCCAGAAGTGGTCTTGGCCCAAGGTGTCTCCAGTCCTTCGCCCCATTTTAGAGCCCCTGGGGCCTTCTGGGCCTCGTGAAGGGTACTCTGGAGGCCATCCGGGCCTTCCTGGGGAACATGAGGGCACCTTGGGCCAGAGACACCTTTGGCACCACCCGAAATCTTGTATACGCCCTCCTGGCTGAGGCCAGGAGGATATATATATATATATATATATATATATATACATATATATATATATATATATATACACCATCCTGCGGGCCAGGGTGGCCATGGCCAGGCAGTGTGTGGTGTTTGGCAGTCCTCTGCGGCGAGGTCCGCTTCACTCACGCGTCTGTGTCGAGGAGGTTTCGCCATGGACCCCACCGAGGCAAGGAGATCGTGAGCCTCGCGGCGGCGCTGGAGTCCGGCGACGCGACCGTCGACGACGTGCCGCTGGTCTGCGTGCGGCTCGCCGACAAGACGTACAGCCTGTTTAACAGGCGCCTGTACGGCCTCCGGGAGTACGCGAGCAGGAGGCCGCCCGGGGAAGACGTCCGCGTGCCGGCCTGGGTCTTCAAGGCCGCCCCATGGGGCTCCTCCCCCCAGCCCTCCTTCCCTCCCTCCCTCCCTCCCTCCCTCCCCTCCCCTCCTCCTCAAGTTCGCGTCGCGACAGGGTCCATCCGTTCCATTCCGTTCCGTTCCGTGCCCTTCCATCCCGTTCCATTCCATCGAGCCCAGGCACGCAGGCCGCCTCTGTCGCACTGCACGCAACGATCGGCAGGCTGCGCACCAATTGGTCACTCTTGCCTGACCCTTGCGTGTCGCCGAGGGTTTGGGGGAAGGGGGGCCGACATCTGTTGCACGTTGCTGGTTTCGGCCCCGCCGCTGGGCGGTCTTCTGGAAACGCAGGGCGCTCCAGCAAGGAAGGGCTTCTCCTTCATCCGCAGCAGCTGGCGGAATGCGGGCGGAAGCTGACAGAAGTGGAACGGCGGCGTCCCCGCCAGCGGACGCACAAGATGCGCCGCGAGAGATGAGCAAGATTTGTTGGTTCAAGGTTTCTGGAGTCGGCCACCTTGGCGCCTGCAGCCGTTGCAGACAACCGCATGACGTACTGGGAAGGGTCGGGCATCTCATGCCGCAACCTGTGGGTCCGCGGATCAGAGCTTAACAAAAAGGGCGAACACCCAGATGGCGACCCGTGGCATTTCAAGGTCGGCGCTGGCGAATCATATGTGAAGGATATGGCCAGATACACTACCTCCGCCTGTGGGGTCTGCATAGAGGTGGACGCCAGTCCTGGAGAGAAGACGAGGGGGGGCTATGCAAGCTCTCGTGCTGATCAGACGGCCGGGGTTCTACCAGTGAGCCCGCCGCGAGTGGAATGCTTCCTGAACCGCGCCTCCTATGCGAAGGGGGGGGCCCAGGCGCTAGCGGACATCCCATTCGGCGCGCCGCTGCCGTTCAGCCGCCAGGAATTCCTTGCGCTGCCCACGCTCCCGCATATCAGCGTCGACTCGCGGAGGTTGGCGGACTGGGACAAGGGAAGGGGCGCTGCTGCAAGGCCGCCGTGGGAGGAGGTGCTGATGTACGCCCTGCTATATGACCCACTCCTCTATGTCCCTGCATCGGCTCCTGGTCCTGATGTTGACATACAACGCCAAGGCCAGACGCCAGGACGACGCGACGTCTCGAGGCGCCGCGGGACAGGGGCGAACTATCCACGACCGAGCCCAGGGGACACCGCAAGAACGAGGCGACCGCTGGCCATGCCAGCGGCGCCCCCGAGACGTGTAAAACAAACCTGCTCGATGATTGCAAAAGGTACAGGACTCACTGCTGATGCTCACCGACTGCCGCGTCGTTGACGGGGCCCCGAGGTCAACCCGACGTGCAATATTGAGGACACAGTCGCTGTGCGCCCCCGCGCCTTCAAGGCCAGTCAAAACCACCAGAAGCCGATCATAATCGGGCCAGGCGCAGCCGCAAGCTGGACACCGGACACTGTTGCTACGCTGATGGGGAGGATAGTGAAGCACGACAGTTCCGACGAGTATAAATTACTGCTGTCGTGCATACCGCCGATCCCGAAGTTCTTGGATTGGGAGCTGATGTCTGACGACTCCTCGTATACGAATCAGGGCATGCACACCAATTCCACGGCTTGGCTCGCGGCGGCAATGCGCCGTGCACACTTCCCCAAGCCCACCAAGAGCTACCTCGGTCGCTGCGCGATCGAATGGTTCGCCTCCCGACGCCTGTATGCGGCTGACATGGTTGAAGGAGCGCTATACGACCTTTTCGATCTGGAAGGAATGACCGTTGACTCCCAGCCGGAGCATATTGTGTTCACCATTCCGTTAGACTTGCCAGCGGACTATGTGCGCTTGAAAAAGGATTCGGATTGGAAGTTCTATCCGCGCGCCGTTGACATAAACAGGCTTGGAGCCGTCCTCAACACTGGCGCGTTCATCGTCTCCGCGGTGAGCGACGGCGGGCGGGCGAAGAATAACGCGGGCTCAGATGCGCCCGCCGAGGGGGGCATACGCCTTCGAAGACTCCGTCAGAGCACCGTGGCAGCACGCCACCTACTCCTACGCAGCAGTGCTGTTTGGCGACGGATTGGCCGTCGTGCGCGATTTCCAAATATTGGCTCCGCCGCCAGAGTTGGGGGGCTTCAAGGCGGTAGATACAGAGAAGGAACATGCAATGCTGCTGCCCTCACCCTCACATGTTGGTGAGAACTGCCCTCCGTCTTTACTTCGCGGCGCCGCCGCAGACCCGCGCCAAGGGGATGTGGACTTCGCAGCTGTAGCGGGCCCAGACCCTCTTCGTTCCATGGAGGAATCAGAAGAGACGGATCGCGAGACGGCCAAGGCCCCTCCCTGGTTGATCCAGGAGTCGGCGAGGGTGGAAGGGGGTCTATAACCCCGCCCGACTCGAGAATCGACAGGCACGCCGCGAGGCGCGACGGCGTCTCTGCAGTGCTTGGCAAATTGACCAACTACAAGAGATCCGCAGTAGCCGAAAGCTGCTCGTCGAGCATCTTCTCGATTTCGCTCGCGACAACGCGGCCCCATGCAAAGGGGAAATATTGGAGGGGGGGGGGGGGCATGCTGCATCGTCCCCGACCCAGAGAGGTCTCTACATACGACCCAGCGAACATGGATGCCAATGGCCGATGGATCCATATTCAGGACAAGACTTCAGTAGGCATCGAGCTGCAAACCCGCAGCCCGCTTTTGGGAAACGATGAGGACGCGGGGCAAAGGACAGAGGCGCCCCGCGACAATGTCGGGGGCACCTCCGACGACGAAGGCCCGCCTCAGCCCGAGATGAGGCAGAACGGCCAAGAGTTCCGGGATCGCCTCGCAGAGATCATGCGGAACAACCCGGAGGACATTCACGGAGAGAGCATGTCTTTCCGTGGGCGGGAGACATTGCGCCAGCTGTCGAACTGGGGGCACGCGGGGGCGACAGGCTCCAAGAGAAGGCGCAGAGCCAGAGCGGATGTAAGAGTTCGCTCCCCCGCCGAGCAGCAGTGCACGACCGCTCCCCCAGCGTCGCAGCCCCCTGATCCACGGGGCGGCGCGCTGTTTCGCCGGCCCCCGCCGATGGGCGAGGCGCGACCGCTGGCGAGAGAGCGCAGCGTGGAAGTGTCGACGGCTGTGGCTCAGACGCAGCAGGTGCACCTGTCTCCGGCTCGGATGCCACTGCGCGACGCGCAAGGATGTGAGCGAAGGGTCAATGCTGAAGCCAGTGGAATCGCGCGACTATTGCGAGACGCCCAACGCGGCACTGCACATTGACCTGTGCACTCCGCATCAGCGCGCGCGCAGCCACTGGACCAATGCCCATCGACACAATGCCCCCGACAAGGTCCTGGAGCACGAGAAGATGGTCTTCGAGCTACGGTGCCGATCTGAGATTTTGGAAGGAGCAGCGGAGCTTAGCGAGGACGAGAGCAGCACGTCGGAGTCCACAACGGACCTGGGCGAGACGCGGGGGGGGGAAAGGTCAGCCGACCGTTGCGGGCGCGGGTGAGAGGACTCGCAGCTACGCCGCGGGCCCCCTTCCAGCTCCGCCATCCTTTAGCCGGCCAAGGCGCATCGACAGGGCGCGACCCCTAAGTCTACGCCGTCGCCCGTCCGTAGAGAATCGAGCGAAGTGAACCTGGAAGCCCCCGGCGATGGGCCACCTCCGCCTCCGGGCGCAGGCGACCGCGCCCAGATGTCGGTCGCGGCATTGGCCAGAGAAGACGACGACGAGGCGGATGGCGCCGGGGGCGACCAGGGCGATGATGAGAAGCACCGAGCAGAAGAGAGCACTGCGCCCACTGCGCCCAAGCCCTGGCCACTTCCTCTCGATATCCTCTCCAGCGAACTCCCCGAAGCATTCGCGTCGCGATATTTCTGCTCCGGCAGGGCCCCGACTCTGCCCAAGACCCAGCCGATCTCGGTCGACGAGCTCAGGACGAGGAGAGCGGAGGCATGGGGATGCAGCGCGCCGCGGGCTGGAGCACCCGGAGACGGACGAGTTCGGCGCCCCGCTCGTTGACAACGACGACCCCGCAGGCCTGTTGGTCGTGAGTATCGAGCTGGGCCGAAAACTGGAGGAGCACCGCGACTCCGGCCCCGAGTCCTTCGCAGTCAGACAGAAGCGGGGCAGCGGTTTCCAGACAAATCATTGGAGCTGTCCCGTGAGTTGGTGGGCGTTGCGCTATTGCAGTATTTCTGTAACCTGTCCCTTGAGGACGGAGTGAACGCGCGTCGGTTCTTGCGCGCTCGCTACAATGCGGTCGAGCCCCGCTGTCTCTCGAAGCCGGAAGATGACCTTATCCACAGAAACCTTGCCGGTGAGCTGTGGGCGCTCGCGCGGCATTCGTGCATGGCTGTGGAAGAAGTTGGGCGCAACGGCTCGCTTACCGTTCACTTGGCGATGCACAGCGCAGCTCGCGTTCGCAGCTCCGGCGGGTGGGTGGAGGCGTCCGACATCGTCAGAATGCTGGGCGACGAGAGCTACAACAAGGCGTGGGCACGCTTCGTGCGTGCTTCTGCCAAATGACCACGATGCAAAGTTCAGATATTTGGTGCGAACATAACGGAAGCTGACGATGGTCCCACGGCTAAGCCAGACGATTGAGACGACCGCTTCGGGCGCGATCCACCTACCAACCACTATGTTGTCGGGGGTGCGCCCATGGTAAAGCATGCGAAGGTGGCTCTGCTACTCCGCGCTTGCAAGGGTCACTCCGCCCGAGTTGTCGACCCCAAGCGCATGCATGTCACATGCGACGCGGTAGCAAGGCGCTCCCACCAGGCAGTCGAAATTCCATTGGACGATGCTTCTGTGCGCGAGTCTATGACCAGGCACGTTGTGGCGCCGCAAAGGGACCTCCAGGGCGTGCGCCAGTGCCGTTTCCTAACCTACCTGCCCAGGCTCGGGTGGGGCGATTCAGCTGGCACGGAGAGTGCGGGGCGGTCGATGTGGTGAAATGCGCGGTGCGCTTCCGACACGGCTTAGGCCTGGCGGCCGGGCGCGTGCGGCAGCCGGCCAAGCATTGGATGCTCGTGTTTTCGATC